TGTGTGTGCATGTGCGCACGCGAGCGTGCGCGTGTGTACGTGTGTTTATAGGCGTGTGGAAAGTCCTTAATCATTAAGAAAAACCACTCCAAACGACCCACATTAAAAATGTTTAAAACCCGTAATTTTTTCCCATCAAAGGTCGCCCTCCGTGGATCCACAAGTAATGCCGCCGGGATTACAATCAGATAGTTGTGGAGAGAGTGTCTCTGTACATTTTGTAGATTAACATTAGTTCACGTATCGTTAATGTTTTCGATAGCAGGCCGACACTCATCCATTCCCATTCATTATCCTCTTTAATTACCGACGCTGTAGTGTCCTAGATACGGTTATCACACCAAGTACGGTATTAGTATTTCAAGTCGGTGTTACCCGCCTGTGTGTTATGCAATGTAGGTCAATTAAACAAAGAAGTCTCAGAACACCCGTTCATGGATCTCGCATGGGTTTTCTTATTGTGCTAGCCCCTTCAACATAACAGACGCTGCCCCAACTTGTTGACATCGAGTAACCTACTTTAAACAAACATGCGACTCGTTGAGATCGAATGTACCCTTCCGGATATTTTACTGAACGTCCATGTGAATCGTTCGTTATTACATAATAAAAGCGTGACCTTGGCTTGGCCTATATGAACCTCCAAAACGCACCCTCTGATTTGGGCTATATGTATCCTAAAAAAGGTAACCACCCTCGGGCGGCCTTATTTAGGTTCCGCTCTCCGACGTAATCAAACTCCCTACTGAACCTGCAAGGCTTTTAGGTTCCAAGTTTATATCTGTAATGTTGATATAGTTGGCCCTGTCTCTTAACGACACTGTCTCTGAGAAATCTCTAGATTCTAGACCTACTGAATGCCGAAAGTTGCGAAGTGAATCGAACGAGTCTTTCGAGATTGCATAGAATCTAGAACCAACGAATCACAAAAATCTAGAAAAATATAGACCTATAATTTATAAATTTTAACAGAAATTCGCAGGAGTCCATGTGATTTTTTTCTTGTTATATTTTATAATTTATATGAAATCCCAAGATATAAAGTTTGACCCTGAAGTATGCATCGACACCGCGGGACACACATCCAAACAGAGCTAGATATCGAGATCCTAGATCTGTAAACAGTGGAAGCAGCTTTGTAAACGGGAAGTAGAACTCTATGACACCCACACGACAAAGCACACACCGCACTTCTGTTCTTGCTAACTACTCCAGATCAGTCTTGAATTCTGTGCTCCAAATAGCCTACATCTGGGAGATAGAGAGATCTAAATCTAGAGTCTTGCTCTATAAAAAATTACACACCAAATACGCGCTAAATTTTGAAAACGCTAAAACAATTAAGTGAATTTTTTGAGGGTTTAAACGGACTCAACGTGTTGGGGACATGACTACACCAAATATATCTACATAAAAGGTCAATACAATGAAGTTAGGTCTGAAGTATCCACCGACACTGCAAAGCACACATTCAGACAGAGTTGTACATCGAGATTCTAGATCTGGAAACAGTAGACTCACGACAAAGCACAAACCGAAACAGAAGTAGTCCCCAGTAAAATATGAATGGCTAATGGCGTAGTAAAAACATCTGAGAGTTTTGATTTACAAGGAAAATCATTAAACCTGAAAAATCAAAGGTAGTTTTCGAACTTTGAAAATATGCCTACGTGTCCCTTTGTGTGAGTTTTTAACTGAATCATATTTTTGTAGAATTTATGGGCACCTGTGTAAAAATGTATACTGACCCCTCAAACGGGCTTAGCTCCATTATAATAAGATTATTGTATTCTGATGTTAAATACAGACAAAAACTAAACTGAATGAGAACTGCAGTAATAGAATCTTGGTCTACCCGACGGAATGTCGAATACAGCAGATCGCTTCGTCAAAGTCAGTCGAACGAAGTCTCAACACTTAGCATATAGCATCAGTCTAGATCCACAATTTTACATAGAACCTAGAGGATAATGCATCAGTATATTTCTGAAATGCTTACTTAATGAAATAAAATGCAGAAAAATACAATGCTTTGGTCAATTAAAACAACAGGAGGCCATTGTGAAAGAGGTGCAGGGAGGAAGGATGTAGGACAGGAGAGCCAGGGGAACATGGATGGACAACATAAAAGCATGGACTAGCCTGCTGGGTACAGCAGAATGTACAATGGAAGCTCACAACCGTGAAGGATGGAGGGTCATTACACGTCAACCTTTAAGTCAGAGATGACGCCTGCTGGTATTCCAGGTATTATATCTTAACCTCACATGCGTTTTCAAATCTTTTGTGATAATCTGATATCGGTCCCATCGATTATTGTAATGCCTACCCTGAACCCCTACCCCAAACCCTACCCCTAACTCTCTCTGTACCTTAATAATATAATTATTATCGTTGTCTTTTTTTTGTCTTTTTTTTTGTTGTTGGTTGGTTTTGTTTATTTAAAAATATCCATTCCTTTTTTCCTTCAGTCTCGACCAGCCTTGCTGCGAGTGATTGACACTGCGCTGTTAAATGGACATAAAGATGTGAACCCACCTAGGCCTACCTCCCCACAAGCAAAATAAAATTGAATTGTAAAAAATCTCAACAGCCAGAAAAATGCTAGTTCCTTTTATTCCATTATTTTGACGAATGCTAAATTTCTCCAGGAAGCCCGAGTTTTGTACAACATGTTGGTCGAGGTACAAAATGAATTCCTCTAAGAGGTGGTAAAACTTGGCCCTTACTATAAACGGGTTGACATGTACTAGATCTACATTTCCGCCTCGACACAGGAACAGAAGAAGCTTAACTTAACCACCAACTAGAATACTGAACCAGGCCGACAAGCACATTACTGCTGCTAGACTCTTGATTGCCTTTATCTTCTGAACTTAAAACTAAAATAAAACCTACCTGTAACGTTCAACAGGCTGGCGTAAAAGGCGTGAAAAATAAGGGCAGAGAGACTGGCTTCTGAATCCCAATACGACAGCCGGAATACCGCGCGCTCTCACTCACGTGCGAGCTTATATACCCTGGTCTGAGGCACACACAGTATCCTGTAACTCGATCGATGTGAACTGTTATTGAAGACAAGGGCGGGGTGGGGGGCAATAGTACCGATTAAAAATTTTTTATCCAAAGGGCGGGGGGGGTATGTCCACAGAAACCCCATAGATTTGTTCGAAGCGCGGAAAATTACTACGCATTCAGGCTTAGCACAGTTCGAATAAAAAACCATTCTGCTCAGGGTCGCTAGATCTAGAAATTACCTAAATTTGGTAGAGTTTTTAAAAAATGACCCAAAATGTCGTGCCTACGGAGCGGTGGCCTTCGATAATTTAATCAAGAATACTGGATCATTTGGGAGTGTTTAATTTTCTATTGCAGTAAAGTGTTGGGAGCGATCAAAGGTTGAAAAAAAACCAGGTCACGGTCGGCTGTTCAACTTTAGATTCGACTACAGAATAATGGACTAATCGTACTTGTAAAGCTGGCCAAAAAGTAGAGGCTGGCAGTTGTTTCGCTTCAATACAAAGTAGTTAGTCATCGAGACAACGGCTATTTAGTGAAGAAGAAAAAAACAACGCAAAACAGAAATGTCACGGTGAAATAAAATCAGGTGAATTCTTCAAAAACTGACTACTAGAAACTCAAGTTTGCTACAGAACGGAAGGAAGGGTGGCAGAGAAACGGGGCAGGAGAGCTGGAGTGAGGTAATTGTTTGTTTTGGTAAGTGTTTTTACACACCTAATGTTTTCCGTTGGTAGGAAATTTTGAATTTTGCCCGGGTGGCGGCCGAAGCCTACTCTTATCGATTTTAGACCACCAAGGGATCTTTAACGTGTGCAACTTGCACTCGGACCCTCCGAGATTTTTCGCCCTTGTCCGAGAAGGCTAGGGATAGATCTTTCCTACCAGAAGATCAGGGGAGTGGCAGAAAGACAGCAGTTAGGAGGAGCCAAGGAGTAGCAGTAGAAAGGCTGCAGAAAGAGTCAGGAGCCCAGAGGAGGGGGCAAAGGAGGTTGGGGGGGGGGGGGGCAGAAAAAGGAAACGAAAGCAGACTACAGAACATTGCTAGAGAGCAGGAAAAAAGGTGAAAGGAGACAATTTTAGAGAAGAAAATGTTTCGGTCACTACCCGGATTCGAACCCGGGACCTTTGAATGAGAGGCCAACACCTTAACCTCTAGGCCTCGAGAGCCCCCGGTGTGAGGCAAGGTAGAGAGAAAGAGAGAGAAAGAGGGGGGGGGGGGGGCGTGGTGTGTTTAGGTATATAGTTCTTCAACAGTAACGTTATTAATGACAAACTAATGACTTGAAATACTTCTGTTCAGGGGAGTCTTTAAATGGTACAAACATTTTGATCTAATTCTTAGGAATTTTCTGAAGCAAAACGGGAACTGAACAAAGAAAAACTTATGCTTAGATTGAAAAAAGAATCGAAGCTGGTGGTATTTTCTTCAACATAAACTAATTTTCAGTGTGGGTATTGGAGAAAGTGGGCCAAAGAATTAACTGTTTCATAAAAACACGAAGTCCACAAAGACCACCAGCGAGGTTGGGTACTCGTAAGCTTGTAGCCTAGGCTAGAGAGTTTAGAAACTAGAAACCAGACTAGCAAGTTCTTGGTCCTACTTTTTCCCTGGGTTCACTAAGTCTCACTTTTAGTTTGGGTTGGGAAGGTCGTAGGGCTGCTTGCGTCGCCATTATACCCCAGGTGTAAATATAGCTCATATTATTCAGTATTCATTCCTCTCGGTTTTCGCTCCAGTTGTTTTTGCTTTGCTTTGATTCGGATCACAACGACGTATAATAATTATTATAACTTTCAAGGTTGTACAATCTGATGTAATTTTGGTTCATTATTGAGGGCACTTTATTTGACTAAAACCACAGAGTACAAACAACTCTTAAGCAAGCAAAAATATTACTTACAACAACAATAACAAATTACCAAACAATAAAAAAAACATACAGACGGACACACAAACAAACAAACACACAAACAAACAAACACACACACACAAATAATAAACTTGCAAAACAGCAGGAAGGTTAACAAACATTCAGACTTGCAAACAAACAAGATCACTAAGTAAAAAAACGTTGTAGTTATTCATCAGAAAAAGGTCTACGGTGACGCCTTGAATCTCGGGAGCGAGGTAGCCTCTTGTTTCAATAACACTCCAGCTTCTCACTTGGTCTCGTTCAATATTCCCAGGTCGCCGAGAATGGCGTTGTTGGATTCATTCAGGAAGATGTTGGCGGGCATTCCGTCCCCGTGCACAGCGCATCTTATGTTGAAGATATCTCAGTGCACAGGTGGTCTGCACAAAGGGGCACTCTATCTGCTCCCCGTTTAGAACGCGATGGGCATCATGCAAATATTCTTGTGAACACAGAAGCATGCAGATAGCTACAAAGCCCATGCACCTCACTCACCGCCCCGCCCATCTTCATGATGTGGGGTGAGAAACGTTGCCCATGAAGCTGATTTCCTTGAAAATCTCTTGCCAGATGTCGCGGCCTCGGCGGTGGGTGAGACCTATCTTCTTGATGGCCTTACGAATCATAATGGAGTCGTCGTCTTCCGTTGCCACTTCGAACACTTGGACCGGCGTCCTCGTCTTCTGCCACATAAGGCGCTCTGGCCTCATCTTCACGGATGACCAGAGGTCACCAGAAATGAACTGTGCTTCAATTCTTGTTTCCTTTAACATTGGTAAGCATTGTCTGGTGCTCTTGTCAGGAATAAAGCTGTATCATTTTATTTACTGTTTTCCTTCGCTTTAGCAGCTTCTCATTTTGCGATTTCAAAAACTCCTCTCCCTCTCCTCCCTTTCTAGACAGAAACAACAAAGCAAAGCAATATGATAATTTACTTAATACATAATTTAACATAATACATTTTTCCCCTTGCCCATTTATATGAGATTGACGCCATCTGATTAGTAGACAAAAGTGCATATGATTGTGTCCAATAGTGTATTACATGCATACTTAGTATATCAATTAACTGTAATAGCGGATAGAGATTCCAGGATTATAGATGTAAGTCAATGATCTGAGAGAGGTGATGATTTTAGAATTAATAGTGGTGATGAGTGATGATGAGGGATTGCGTTTAAGTAATGTTAGCGTTAGTCCTATCTTCCTCTGCTCCAATGAGTCACGAGGGACGTGGGCACCCTCTATCCCGTTCCCTACTGGAACCATCTTTACGGTCACCATGAAGTTCCGAAATGGTGGGCTCAGTCTCTTCTAAGGTGACATCGTTAGTGTTAGCCTATTCTATTGGGCCAAGACAAGTGTAGAGAGGAGCTAAGTGGGAAGACAGTATAGTGGCAGGTATGTTGGGGATATTTGTTAGCGGGTTGTAAATAGCAAGTTGGCAGATTATGATCTTTAAAATTGCAGTATTCTACTCCCTGATCCTTTGCCCCGAGTATTCTTTTCGAGTCCAATTGAGCTTGGAGAGATTCTGACGCAGGATCCTTGAGCCCAAATCGAGAGGGCACAATTTACACAGAATATTGTATCCCCTCGCCTCAGGGGGAGCGACCTCCCAAATCAAGTACCCTATGTCTGAATCCTCCCAGTCTCGTCCATTATTGGTAGATTTATACTTCCATTGCAAACGTTGGAAGCAATTCTTACTTTTTTAAAAAGCCAATTTTGTGGAAATGCTGGCTGTATATGTTTTAGTGGTTAGAAATGACCAGAGAGCAAGCGGGAGATAGATAGATAGATAGAAAGAGAGAGAGAGAGAGAGAGAGAGAGAGAGGGGGAGAGAGAGAAAGAGAGAGAGAGTCGTGAGAGGGAATGAGAGAGCGGGAGGGGCAGTAGGGGGGGGGGGGTGGCGAGATATGAAAGGCTTAGTGGCGGGCAATGAATAAGACGGCGATGATATGAAGTTATGGGGCTGGGGAAGGTAAACAGATAGGTAGACAGCCGTATTGAGACAGAGGCAGATAGCGATAGAGAGACACAGCGAAGAGTATGCGGATTGGAAAGAAGGGAATAGAGAGAAAGAGAGAGAGAGAGAGAGAGAGAGAGAGAGAGAGAGAGAGAGAGAGAGAGACATATACCTATCATGTATGCATATAAAGTGAGAGTTAATTATAATATGGTGAACAGGGTGTTGAGGGAATGATTATACTATAGAGACTTGCCTTCTTTTTTCCAAACATAAGGCGTCCATTAACTATGTCGAAAGGGGTATTGAACAGTGTTATAATACAATGCCATTTTATAATACTATGTAACTAAACGTGCATTACCTTTTCCTTTCGTTCAGATTATTTGTGCTGTGCTGTGCTGCAAGCAGCATATTTTATATTAAAACAATGCTCTCCCCACCACAAGAGCTATCGATGAACCCTAGGTAAAGCTCTTTGAAACAAGAACATGGATATATAAACACGGAAATAAGGTCGCCGCTAGCACATGGAAAATAATACAAAAACGTTATCGATATGCATTGTGTTTTACTTTAAATAGAGTGCAATATGTGATATCAAATATTACAGAGACTTTTTCCTATGTTCAAATTCGATATCAAATAATATGAAAATATACTTTACGTCACCATACCTCATTTTACTGACGCACATTTTTGCAATCAGTATAATATGATTTGCTGTTTTTACTACACTAGTATTTACTCCACCCTCCTTTCTCACGCCGAGTAGAATATTGGCGTCTGTCATCGGAAAATGTGATTTGGAAGATCAGCTGAAACACATGATTCCAAAAACCCCTTAATCGTGAACAGTGGATAAACATATGTTCAACAAAGTCTGCTACACCACAGTATTCACACAGTTCTGAAGATTTTATGCCCATCCTATTCAACAAGATATTTGTTGGGAATATATTGTGAAGTATTTTAAAATGTAGAAGGCGAAGACGAGATTCTTGCGTGGCCATATGTGCTAGACTATACCTATCTGCTATGTCCACTCCAAGCTTTTTCAACCAAAAGTTCTTACCGCATACCTGAATCTGCTCCCGCCCCAAGACAATT